CTTGAACTCAGGGCCTGGGCACTGGCCCTGAGCTGCTTTTGTTCAAGGTTAGTGCTCTACCACTTGAGACACAGCACCCTTCCTGGCTTTTTCTGTGTATGTGGTACTGAGGAATCAAACCCAGCGCTTCATGCATGCTAGGCAAGCACTCTACCACTAAGCCACATTCCCAGCCCCACTTTGATCTTTAAACCAGCTAAGTTCACCCCTTCCTTTAAGAGGTAATTGAGACCACGCCCAGTTCAGCCACTTTGCCTGCTTGGGGATGGTTGTCTGCTGATAGTGGGACTTGAAGCCAGTGTCTGGGTGCTGTCCCTAGGCTTTGTCAGCTCATGGCTAGTATTCTACCACTTGAACCACAGCTCCATTTCTAGCTTTTTGGTAGTTAACTGGAGATAAAGGTCTCATAGAGTGGGCTGGCTTTGAACCATGATCCTCCAATCTCAGCCACCTGAGTAGCTACTAGCATCCAGAAGTCACCTTCCTTTTCCCAGTTGTCCCTCAGTATCCTCGGGATATTGGTTCAGGACCCTGAGGGTACTGAGTCCTTATGTAAAATAGTTTTATTTGTATAGAACCTACACACATCCTCCCATATGCTTTAAATCATCTCTAGGTGTCTCATATAATTAAATATTAATTTAATTAATTAATACATGTGAATGCTTTGTAGGGAATAATGACATATGTAGCATGTTCGGGACAGATACAACTTTTTCTCCAACATTTTATTCTCGAGACAAGATCTCATTATGTAGCCCAGGCTGGCTTCCTGCTTTAAGCATGCATATGGAGGATGACAGGCATGAGCTACCAGGCCTGGCTTTTCTGAATGGTTTGATATGCAATGAATCCACGTGTACAGAGCCTGCAGATGTTCAGGAGTCCTATCATTGGCTATTTGTGCATCTTGTTTCATTTGGCTATTAGCCTCCTGGTGAGCGGTGCCATATCCCCAGTTGCAGAAGATATTGGGCACAATGCCAGAAGCTTCACACTTACATCCATAGTTTCAGCCAATTCACACTAGCCCTCAAGGGGGAACAGGGGAGGAAGCATCTGTCAATTGCTACTTGCAAATGATGAGGGCAGGGCTGAAGAGGCTGAGTCAGTTGCTGCAGGATCTCTCTTGGGACCCTACAGGCTGTGTAGTGTAGGTACTGTGGGGGCATGCATAGTAGGGTGTTGGGTCTGTGTGGTGCAGACACCAAGGAGATAGATTGCAGAGAAGGGAGTTTTACTGGCCCCAGCTGTCAGAGGTGACAGGGAGCCTCTGCTGTAGAATTCTTACATAGTGCAGGCAGGAGCAAAGGATCATACTCCAAAGCTGCCTCTACCTCCCTTCTGCCTGATCTGTTTTCCTCTTCCCCCTTGCCCTCCCAGGCTTGCTCTCTACTCTCCTCAGCTCCCACCTAGATGGTACCCTGTCCTGTGGTAATCCTATACTCTATCCCCTGGCAGGGTGGTGAAGGGCACCATTGCCCATTTCCCAGGTGCACAACTCTGGTTTATAATGATTTCACCTATCTACAGAAGTCACCTCCACATGAGGTGTCATGTAGAATTAGCTTCTGGGACGGACAGGGACTGGTGGCATCTTTCCTGTAGGAATATCCAGGAGACTACACCCCACAGTGGAGGTATCAGATTGGGAGGATGAAGACTGAGAGAGTAGATTTTCGAGGGGTTCTATTGTTTCTCATCTGGAGGAAATTAATCGCAAAAGTCCTTGTATTCTATGGCAATTGAGAGCAGGAAAATTGATAGAGACAGTAGGGTTAGCAGAGATACAATGGCTGAGCAATGGCTTGAGACTTGGGGTTTGTTTTGAGATGGTGAACCATAAGGTGATGACTATAGGTATGTGGGAAAATATTAACACCCCTGAAGGCATGCTTCAATGGGAGAATTCTTTGGTTTGTGATTAGATCTTATTAAAGCTGTGGAAAGAGAGAGAGAAAAAGTGGGGAGAGAGAGAGGGAGAGAGAAAGAGAGACTCCCAACTATCTCACTATGAAATTTGCTACAACAGATAAATCATGCAAGGAAAAAAGCCAGCCTAGCCAAGTACCAGTAGCACACACCTAGTAACTAATCTCAGCTACTCAGCAGGCTGAGATCTGAGGATCACAGTTCAAAGCCAGCCCAGGCAGGAAAGTCTGTGTGAGACTCTCATCTCTCATAAACTACTCAAAAAAAAAAAAACAAGCTAGAACTGGAGCTATGGCTTAAGTGGTAGAGCACTAACCCTGAGCAGAAGAAACTCAAGGACAGTGCCCAGGTATTCGAGCCCCAGGATGCGCGCACGCACGCGCGCACACACACACACACACACACACACACACAAGCTAGCCTAAATTTTTTGAAGGGCCCCTTTGCAGGGTGACATACTCTGAGGGTCCTGAGGCTTGCCAAGAGTTAGGTTGGCACACAGAGTGGGTTTTGTTCTGTGGACAACTGGGGTTTCAACACTATAGACTCCATGAATCTGCATGACTTTGTGTGTATGTGGGTGTGGGTATGGGTGTGTGTGTGTGTGTGTGTGTGTGTGTGTGTGTAAGCCACACAGAGAAAGATGTATACAGAGAGAGAATGTGTAAGCCACATAGAGAAAGATGCATACCGAGAGCGAATGTGTTTTTCAGGAATCTTGTAAAAGCTTTTTTGTTGTTGTTGGTCATGGGGCTTGAACCTGGGCCTGGGCACTGTCCCTGAGCTCTTCAGCTCAAGGCTAGTGCTCTACCACTTGAGCCATAATGCCATTTCTGGTTTTCTGATGGTTTATTGGAGTCCCACAGACTTTCCTGCCTGGGCTGGTTTTGAACCACTACCCTCAGATCTCAGCCTCCTGAGTAGCTAAGAATACAGGCGTGAGCCACTGGTGCTCGGATTTTTTTTTTAATGTGCCGATACCGAATCTTGAATTCAGGGTTTTGCACTCTCACTTGGCTTTTTCACTCAAGGCTTTTTCACTCTACCGCTTGAGACATCATTCACTTCTGGCTTTTTGCTGGTTAATTGGATAGAAGAGTCTCATAGAATTTTCTGCTCAGGCTAGCTTTGAACTGCAATCCTCAAATCTTAGCCTCCTGAATAATTAGAATTACAATTGTGAGCCACCAGCATCTAGCTGATCCACAGTACTATCAAGACCTGTAATTGCAGAGAAGTTTCCGTTCAGGTCCCAGCCCCATCCTTATCTGGATAGAGGACAAGGAGATGAGGTTGAGCTGATTTCCCAATGGGATCAAGAAGAAATAAAGAGAATCCCAGCTAGACTGTGACTTCATCTAGGACACTGAGGGTGTTATGCTGCTTCTCTGAACAGGAACTCGCTTACCCTAGGGACACCACCTGGGGTGACTTAGCCAATCCTGGGCTGTGTGTCTCGCACACTTGTCCTCAGCCACCCAAGGAAAGCCGAGTTTCTCACCTGGGTCTCAATTCCCAACTTCAACTCTGACCCAGCACTTGCTGAACATGGGGACATCGAATGTCAAGTGTTTTTAAAAAATGCTACTAATGTAGTATGGCTAATTTGATTTGTTCTGCAAAAAACAGAAGAATATAGTGAGATTTTTGTGCCAGTACTGAGGCTTGAACTGAGAGACTGGCTCTGTCCATTTGTTTTTTGGTTCAAAGCTAGTGCTCTACTACTTGCGCCACAGATTCTCTTCCACTTTCAGATGGTTAATGGAGACACAAGTCTCCTGGATGTTCCTGCCCCAGATGGCTTTGAACTATAATCCTCAGGTCTCAGCCTCCTAAGTAACTGGGATCACAGACATGAGCCACTAGGCCCAGCTCTGCTGGTTGTTTTGTCTTTTTGTTTGTTTCATTTTGCAGTGCTGGCATCCTGGGCCTTTTAACCTGCTAGGCAAGTGTTCTGTCACTGAACTACAACTCAGTCCTTGCTTTTTTGTTTTGTTTTGTTTTGTTGTTTTTTGTTTTTGTCAGTCGTGGGTCTTGAACTCTGGGCCTGGGCGCTGTCCCTCAGCTCTTCAGCTCAAGGCTAGCACTCTACCACTTGAGCCACAGCGCTACGTCCAGCTTTTTCTGCTTATGTGGTGCTGAGGAATGGAACCCAGGGCCTCATGCATGCAAGGCAAATGCTCTACCACTGAGCCACCTTCCCATCCCAGTCCTTGCTTTTTTGAAACAGAGTCTCACTGTGTAGCTCTGAACTCACTTTGCAGCCCAGGCTTTCATTGAAACTTGCCATTCTCCTACATTTGCCTCCTGAGTGCCACGATTATAGGCGTCTGCCATCATGCTAGGCTTGTTGCTACCATTTCATAAAAGAAAGAATATTTTAATGGTAAGGCAAGTGGGAAGGAAAGAATGTCAAGATAATACTAGGATGAAACTAGATTGTGTAAGTTTTTTCTTGGAATGATACGTTGTGCTTCAATTCCCCCTCTTGACAAATGGGTCAGTCCTTGACTCATGACATTGTTAAGAGAATTATCTGAGTCATGTACTTAGATCGTGCCTAGCATAGATAGCAGTGTAATATAAGTGTTCATCAAATTTAAGAAATTTAGTCATATTTAAGAAATGATGGAAGCTGAGTGTTGGCAGCTCATGCCTATAATCCTATAGGGCTGGATCAAGCCAGTTCTGGTAGGAAAGTCCATGAGACTCTTATCTCCAATTAACCACTGGATGTGGCCCTGTAGCTCAAAGTGGGAGAACACTAACCTTGAGCTAAAAAGCTCAGAGACAATGCCAAGGCCCCGAGTTCAAGCCCCATGACCAACAAAAAAAGAAAAAGAAAGAAAGAAATGATGGAAAGCAAGACAGCAGTGACTTGAGTATCTATCCTAGCGCCTTGAGGGAACACAAACGAGACATTTTTGGTGAGGAACATGCCTACCCTGTTCTCTTTGCCTCCATCCTATGTGTGTGCACTCCAGGATCCCCATGTGACATCTGGGACTAGGGCCCTTGGAGTTGTGCTTCCCTCTGGTCTGACAGTCCCTTTGTTTTCTCACCTACAGATCTTTGGGGGCCTGGTATGGATCCTCATTGCCTCCTCTCTGGTGCCAATCCCCCTGGTCCAGGGCTGGGTGATGTTTGTGTCTGTGTTCTGCTTCGTGGCCACCACTTCCCTGCTTGTCCTGTACATAATTGGCGCCCATGGTGGGGAGACTTCCTGGGTCACCCTGGTGAGTTGAGTACAGGATATTTGGTGGGGGTGGTAGCATTGACCTCTCTGTCTTGGGAGGCCAGCTTCTCCAGAGATAGGGGGAGGCTACCTTACGACATCTTCTAGCACATTCCATGGCTTAGCAACCCAGCCTCAGTTCAGACTCCTGCGTAGCAATCCAGGACTCCCAGCAATAATGTGGTCAGAAGATGGTGGGCAATATCACCACACCCACCCACATCTGGCAGGCCACCATTGGCACCTCAGCCCTCCAGCAGAACTGTTTTCATCTTGGGGGAGTGGGGTCCCAGAGGCTGCCCCGTGGTCGGGCCATGCTACCTACCTGACTCCCTGGATACTGCCTTCTAAGCAGGGATGCCAGAGGATTTGAGGGTCAAAATGGACTATGGTTTCCCTTCTGTATAAGTTCTGCTTGGAGGCCCTGGGAAACAGTAAGAGGGAACGCTGTTTCTAGAAGCTGGTTAGGGCCATTTGGCTTGGCTTCTTTCTCTTAAAAGGCTTCCTAGTTGGACTTTTAAAACCACTTCCACATTTCAACCACACAAAACCTTCTTTTAGTTTCTTTTTGCTTTGAAATTTATCAAGAGTCAAAATCAATGAATAAGTAAAACCACCACAACAAAACAAAACAAAACAAAAACAATGGAAAGGCCTGGACCTGTCACATCCTTCTCTGGGCAAGGTGGTCACTTCTACCAAGTCACGCGGCAACCATGGATGCCCCATCTCTAGTGTGGAACCGGCTCCTTGCTCAGCATTCCAAGTTCTTACCTGATCTGACTTTAAGGAAAGCCCTGTCCTTTTCTACCAAACTGCTCACTCAGGACCCAAACGAGGGAAACCCACTGGTCAAATCCTCTGGGAGGTGACAAGCTAGGTTCAAAGGAAGTGTGAGGAGATGAGGAAGAGGCTTGAGCCTTGCCAGGTGGGGACAGGTGGTTCTAGGCCAGGATGTGTTTTTTCTCCATCTCTCTGACACTTGCCCTTTCTGATCTGCAGGATGCAGCCTACCAATGTGTTGCTGCCATGTTTTACCTCAGTGCCTCGGTCCTGGAAGCCCTGGCTACCATCTCCATGCAAGATGGCTTCACCTTCAAGCACTACCATGAAAACATCTCTGCTGTGGTGAGTCCCTGGCTGGCCCTGTCCTGTACTGTGGTTCTACTGCAGAGGTTCTGAGCCAAAGCCCACAGCTGTCTCCTTCTATGTATGGTTCACTAACTTTGGAAGGAAATCAAACTTTCCCTTCATTTCTGAAGCAGCAAAGCCCCCTGGGAAGGGAAGCAATGTCTCCAAGACTCAGTATACCTGGGCCTGGATAGGCGTAGAGACTGATGCTGGGCACACTGGACCCAGGCAGACATTTGAGGAGGTGATGGCTGCTGAGTGTCCAGCATCATCAAGCACTCCACAGATTATATTACCCAACCCTGAAACCACCCTGTGACATCAGTGCTACTGCCATACCATTTCACAGGAGGAGATGCAGGCATAAAAAGCCTGGGTAAGTTGCCAAGATTAGCAGTATTTAGTGGGCAGGGGCTCTGCCCTTTATGCCCTTAGCAGTTTGGACAAGTGGGTCTAGGGGTGTTAGTACCTCATGCCTAAGATCCTAACTACTCAAGAAGCTGAGATCTGCGGACTGCAGTTTGAAGACAGGTGAGGCAGAAAGGTCCTGGTGACTCTGATCTCCAATTAGCCAGCAAAAAACAGAAGTAGAGGTGTGGCTCAAGTGGTACAGCACCATCCTTGAGAGAAAAAGCTAAGTAGAACCACCAGGACTTGAGTTTAAATGCCAATGCTGGTACAGAAAGAAAGAGAGTGGGTCTGGCCATCTAGGTCATATGCCATCGTGCACCACACCCACCACACACTGAGATAATCAAGGCAGGAACACTTTAGTTGGGGAAGGATTTTCTTTTTAATGAAATGAACCAGAAGGTCAGGGGGTAAGAGACTCGATTGTTTCCTAAGATTGTTTTCCAGAGTAGGGGATATGTGCCCTTCTGAGACCAGAGTGCTAACTCATGATGCATTTCTAGATGTGAGTCAGGTTCAGTGCATAGGCTGTAGTTGAGAAACACTGATTTCTACTCCATTCTAACTTTTCTCTCTGAACTTTTATCAACAGGCAGAGAAGTGAACACAGTAAACAGCTCCCAGAAATCCCCCTCTTGGCACTTTGTAATTTCTAATTATTTCTAACTTCCAGTTCAATTTTACCTGCCTTTGAACTTCATATAAATGGGATGTACAGGGTGCATTTTTTTCAATGGCTTCTTTCTCTCATAAAAATTATTTGTAAGATTCATTCAAGTCAATTGCTTATCCTCATAGCTATACAGAATTCCACTGTAGTATGATAACAACCTCTATTTCTCCATCCCACATTAATAAAGTTTCTATGTATCATGAGTGGAGTTGACAGATATGAGTATGCCCAGACAAAGTCAGCAGTGCTAGAATCAAGATTCAAAATGTTCTCGGGGGGGGGCAGATATACTGAGCCAAAATCACAAGGTGAAATCCACGCATGAGGTCCAAGCCACTGCACCAGTATACTGGGGAGAGAAGTCATCAATACTCAGAATTTAACCCAGATCTTGCCCAACCACAGTGTGTCTTAGAGGTGGTCATTCTAGCAAATAGGAGGCACCATAATATCTGTCTTATACACTCTCAACCTTTAGAAGCACTCAACATGCCTATGGCCCTCTCTCTGGTTTCTAATTAGAACAAGTCTCAGAAGCTAAGCTTCTCTCTTTCCTTTATGGGTGGAGGAGATTCTTTTCCAGGAAGGTCTCTAGTGCTGGGAGAGGTTGACTGAGGAGAGCTGGAGATTTCTGGAGCAATCTGGAAGTTTTTAGATCTTACCATACTGGGCAATTAATGCGTCGGTTTAGAGAAAAGGATTTCTGAAGGTCAAAACATGTCTGTGCAGGTCCTAAGCTCTGAATGTCTCCCTATGTGCCATTTCTCAAGCTCATTTTCTGCACCTGTGGGGACTTCTGAGATGTTCCTGCCAAAGGTTCTCACTGGGCCTCATGTCCCCCAGATGGGGACAGATGATTTTGGGGTGCTGCTCATGCTAGTGTGACCGCTCTTTTACCACAGGGTACTTGGGAGTTCCCAAACAGAGTTCTCTAAAATTTGTTATTAAGTAACTCAGTTACTCATCGCCTTGGGCCAATGAGGGTGGAGAGTTCACCCATGCGTAAGGACAGGAGGAGTGTGAACAGAGCAATGACATTTTCAGGAGTCACAGAAGCGTATCTATCCCAAATGTTGTGTCTGGGATGGAAACTCTTGACCTCCACCCAAGGTCACAAAACCAGGTGCAGATATTGAATTTGGGAGCAGGTAAACCTTTAAAGAGATCTGCCACCAAGAGTAGGATAACAGGAATACACAGAACGTAATGCACACTACAGGTCACTAGTGACTATTTGCCATATTCCCAGGACTTTCGTTCGCAGTGCCAAAGTAATAGCACCATTCATCCCAAGAGCTTCTCAAAAAGTTTTGCCTGAAGCTGGGTGTCCCCTATATCATCCTTCATGTCCCAGGAGGCCTGACTCTCTCACTTATCCCTGGGCAATTAAAAATCCTAGATTAAGCCAGGTACTAGCCCACACCTATAATCCTAGCTACACGGGAGGCTGAGGTCTAGGATCATAATCTGAAGCCAGCCCAGGCAGCAAAGTCTATGAGACTTTTTCCAATAAACTAATTTACAAAAAAAAAAAAGTAAGTTTTTTCTGGCTCAAGTGTTAGGGCACTTGCCTTGAGCAAAAGCTCAGGGGTGGCACCCAGGCCCTGAATTCAAGTCCAAGGACTGGCATAAAAAGTAAATAAATAAATAAATCCTAGATTGAGATTCTGATAGAGTCTAAGGATGGCCAAGTAGCCTAGAGACAGAAAACTTATGTTTCCATAACTCCTCGTCCAGCCATGGGTCACATCTGGGGGCCATTGGTCTTATTGGTATAAAGGAGAGAAATTATCCATAGTCTTTTTTGGGGGGAGGAGGCAGTTTTAAGGTTTGAAGTCAATGTTTGCTAGGCAGGTACTTTATCACTTAACCTCCCTTCTCCAGCCTAATAGTGAATGTTGGTATTTTCCTGGGATGCTTTCATTAGAGGGGTCTTTGAGAGCCATGTGTCAAGTCAGCTAACTCCAATCTGACATTGTGCACTGGTGGGTAGTTCTTCCTCACACATGAAGACCAAGTGAGCAATAGCTAGTCCCACTTGGGACTCTGTACTGGAAAGACAGGGTGAACATCTGAGCAAGAAAGGAAGTATGTGGGGGGGGACAAAAGCAGCTTGCCCATCATGCCCCTGAAGTACCATGTGATGCAATGTGAACAACCCCACTCCCTCTGCTCTCCCATTAATAGCTTTTCCTTTGGTTGCAGGTGTTTTCCTATGTAGCCACTCTGCTCTACGTGGTCCATGCAGTGTTTTCTCTAATCAGATGGAAGTCTTCCTAAAGCAGCAGCACATGTGCTAGAAACCCAGATGATGTCAGCTCATCCACCAGCGCAAGTTTCTAGAACACAGACATGATGGTGAAAAAAAAACCAACCACACAGACCACACACACACACACACACACACAGCAACCCTCTATCTCTCTTGCAGGTGTCATGTTTACGCTCCCATAGGCCTTCTTCCAGGGGTGGGGGGCTGGCTTTGTTTAACTTCCATCTACTGAGCTATCTTCTTAGGGCCACTTTGTCTGAGAGTGGGGCTAGTAATGGAATTGGAGACCATGATCTAAGAAGGAAACAATAACCACCCAACTGACCAGATCTTCAGAACCACCCACTGGAATTTTCCACAAGCACCTTTGAGTACTTCAACTTCTGGCCTGTTTCTAAGTCTTCATGAATATTCTGTGTCAAAGAGACTGAAACACCCAACAAAAATCTCCAAGATGTCCGTGGTGGAAGATTATACCCTTTGAAATCCTCCATAAAGTGTCTTTTATGTTCAATATTTTATGGGGTTGTTTGTGGGGGAATGTTTTTAATTCTTCACTATTGGATCTTTCTGAGGAATCCCTTGATTTTACCTGAGTCCTAGCTTCTCAGGAGGCTGAGATCTGAGGATCATGATTTGAAGCCAGCCTAGGCAGAAAAGTCTATGAGACTCATCTCCAATATACCACTTAGAAAATGATGGAAGTTGGTGCTGTGGCTCAAGTGATAGAGCACTAGCCTTGAGCACAAAGGCTCAGGAACAGCACCCAGGCCCTGAATTTAAGCCCAGGACCAGAAAAAAACAAACCAAAAAACCTGGTCATGTGCCAGCCGGAGGCTACCACTTTTCCCTACCAGATCTGTGTTCCATGAGAATTTTTCTTAATCTCCCCTTCCCACCAAAAAAATTAAGTGTAGATGTTTACTCTCACTCTTTATAAAACTAAACTGAAATGTTCTGGACCATGTGGTCAGTGTTCTGTTCCAATTACTGATGTGCATAGGCATATGGCCTGAAACCACTCCATGGAAGAGAAAGGGGACCTGCTACAATGTAAAAAGTAAGGTGAAAAGTGACAAATGCCACATTTTGGATGTGAGATATCTTGTCTACAAGCAGACCCTTTGACTAGGAAGAGATTCTAAGTTAGGGCCTGAAAAACCCAGCTCCTCTTGATCCCGTGGTTAAATAAGTGAATGACATTCCGGAGATGGGACCCAAAACAGAAGCCTCAAACACCATCAGCTCCCTGCCATGAAAGTTTGCAGGTAGCAGATATCTGACTTCCTGTCAGCAACTAGAGAATAAGAATTGAAGCAGAGGATTTAATTAGGCAGAGGATTTAATTAGTGTCCATTTGTTATTCCAACCAACTTGGAGATAGGTCCCTCTACTAAACTGGATCTCAGACTTGTTTTGTGTTTTAGTGCTGGGGGTGGAATCCAGGGTGTTATGCATGGAAGACAGGTACTCCACTACTACCCCAACTTCTAGCCCTATTTTGGACCTTTCTGGCACATTCAGGAGGTCGTTTGTGGTCCTAGGACCATTGTTACCCAAAACCCACTGGTTCATTTAACACAACCAAAATGTCATAGTAAATCTTTAGTAAAAAAAAAAAAAAAAAAGGTCGGGGCTTTATCTTAAAAATTAAACTATAACTTTAAGACAATGAGAAGTTTGTCATGTTTAACAAAACTGAAACTGAGTGTTGATTGAGGAAAGTCTCAATTTTTCAATAAAACTGTCTCATATTACAGTAACCTAGAAACCTGATGCAAATGAGCCTCAATTTTGGCAGAAGAAAAAAGGGAGGAAGGGAGGGAAAGAAGGAAGAAAGGAGAAAGAGAGGGAGGAAAGAAAGAAGGAAGGAAGAAAGGAAGGTAAGAAGGAAGGAAGGATTTCTCAATGTCTTAAATTTTTAATTATTTAAAGGAACTTTCAAATGATCTTTCTTGTTTTTCACTTGCAAATTTTTCTAACTCTAAAACTCTGTAATCAGAGATTTTGCAGCTGATTCTCTGACATGACTCATTTCTTCTATGCAGAGGCACTTTTTTAAATTTGCAGTTTCATTTCCCATTTGAATCAAATCCTATTTGAATTGCACCTGAAGGGGCTGGGCGTGACTTCACCTCCTCCCGCAGCTCAATGCTCAGCTATTTGTATCCAGAATTCAAAGGTGGCAGGTACAAGGGCTTGGCAGATAGGCAGCCCTGCTTACCTTGGGGTAAGCCCTGGTTCCTTGGGGAACCCACCATGTCTAGGGAGGAGGGCTTTGTCAGAAGCCTGATGGGAAACAGGAGGAGTCAGATCACAGTGGTGGGCACACTGGCTAAGCACCTCTGTGTCCGCTGGTGGCCCCTCAAGAAGGTGGGAGGTTGATCTACCCCTTCCCCCCAAAGTTTTTTGATTCTGACAAATCTTATACATGTACACCAGGAAGTTGTGTTGTACTGGTAAGAAGTTGCCTCTAAGGAATACTCTGGTGTTACCCTCAAGAACATGTGGACATTCCCGACATGCTGCCTTCTCCATAGTCCTAACTTGAATCAAAAATATCAGGTAGGCCAAGAGCAGATAGCAAAGCCTGTAATCCTAGCTGCTCAGGAGACTGGGCCCTGAGGATCACAGTTGAAGCCAGCCCCATCAGAAAAGTTCATGAGACTCTTAGCTCCAATTAGCCAGAAAAAAAAGCCAGAAGTAGAGGTAGGGCTCAAGTGGTAGAGCATCACCATTTGAAAGAGCATGAGACCCTGAGTTCAAAACCCAGTACAGGCACACACATGTACACACACACACACACGTCAGGTAACACCAGCACCCAAATGCTCAAAAAAATAAAACAACAACTAATCATCACCATGTAGCCATCTTGTTGGCCATCCTTGGAACTCTTGCCTTGTGCAGCCTCCTCTCATGTTCCCCATGACCTCAGGAGATGGCCTCCTTATCATTCGACAGTGAGATCTTGCAGCTGGTTTGGGTCAGCTCCTTTGTCATTGTGGCTCTGAAGAACTCTCCCTTAGTGAGCCCAGGCCTGTCCTTATGCAGGCTCTGATGGAGGTGATGGGTCAGATTTGAGGCCTGCAATTGTGGTTGAAGCTAGGCATGAGGGACAGCCCCAGGCTGCTAGCACAGCCTGGAAAGATGGATAAGCTGCTCTCGACCGCTCTGTCATCACATAGTGACTGCTCAGGTGGCTCCTGGATTCCACTTTGAAGCCAAACGTCTGTCCAGAAGATAGGTTGCAAAGGACAAGAATAACTAGGTGTTATTAATTCATAGAAGAGCCAGCCCTGCAAGCTCATGCCTGTAATCCTACTCAGGATGCTGAGATCTGAGGATCACAGTTTGAAGCCAAGATGGAAAGGAAAGTCCATAAGGCTCCAATTGACCAGAAAAACAAAAAACCAGAAATGAAACTGTAACTCAAGTGGTAGAGTGCCAGCCTTGAACAAAAAAGCTAAGGGAGCCAGGTGTCAGTGGCTCATGCCTATAATCCTAGCTACTCAGGAGGCTGAGATCTGAGGGTTGCAGTTCAAAGCCAGCCTGGGCAGGAAAGTCCGTGAGACTCTTATCTTCAATAAACCACCAGAAAACTGGAAGTGGCGCAGTGGTTCAACTGGTAGAACGCTTGCCTTGAGCTGAAGAGCTCTGAAAAGCTGAGGGACAGCACTCAGGCTCAGAGTTCAAGCCCCACAGCCGACAAAAATAAATAAATAAAAAATAAAACATGGTTAAAAAGCTAAGAGACAGGACCTAGGTCTGAGTTCAAGCCTCAGTACAAGTATACAAAATAAGTAAAACTGGGGGCTGGGAAGGTGGCTCAGTGGTAGAGCGCTTGCTTTGCATGCCTGAGGCCCTGGGTTCGATTCCTCAGCACCACATAAGCAAAAAGAAAAAAGCCAGAAGTGGCGTCATGGCTCAAGTGGTAGAGCGCTAGCTAGCCTTGAGCTGAAGAGCTGAGGGACAGTGCCCAGGCTCAGAGTTCAGGCCCATGACCGGACCCAAAAATAAATAAATAAATAAAAACAAAATAAGTAAAACTCGAACAAAATGCTAAATCCTCCAATGAGCCTGAGAAAGGATTTTAAAGCAGCTGGTGTCTATAATATAAACAGAAGTTTGAGCTCTATGGAACAAATCAAGGCAGAGTCACCCATTCACTGCTGAACAACTTATGGTCCCAGCTGAGAAAAGCCCCCCCCACCCCCAACCTTATATGAGGGATCACTGGAGCCACCAAGCCCAGAGGTTGCTGCTCAGATCACCTCCTCCTCTATTAGCACATAGACACATGTGAACACTCAGTGCCAAGCCAGATGCCAGGAGAGCACAAGTCAGTGCACTGTAAACAGGACTGCATGAGTGACCAGGCAGTTCCATCCAACCTGTCCTTATGCAGGTCTGCCCTCCAGCCTCTCAGGAAGTGAAAGTGAGGAAACTTGGTTGACAGATACCAGTTAGCAGGGGCCCTGGGGGGAGAGCTAGGCATTGGGGTGGCTGTCAGGAGTGTTCCAGCATGACAGACTGACTGATTGAGCCAATCTTCTCCCTCATGCTATCCATTTCACTATGGGGGCGATGAACAAGTGTAGCAACTGTGCAGGGAAGAAGACCACCATGTGACCCATGGGCACATGGCAGCTGTGGTTCAAATCCAACCAAATCCAACATTTGAAGCTCTTATCTGAGAACTCACTGCCATGGCCATGTGCTTTGTAGGGGGTTCTGGGGGTACCTAGGGCAAGATAGCCTGTGAGGAATCTTCATCACATAAAGTCCACCTGCCCCAGAGGCCATCTTGCCCCAGAGCCATCGGAACTGCTGTTGAGAGAAAACACACTTCATAGGAATTGAGCTTCAGTAACAGCCTAGAACTGAAGGAGTCTCTCATCAGAACCCACGGGTGGCAGGTCTGGTTTGCAAAGCCACCCAAATGGAGGGTTGAAGGCTTCCCAATGGTGACCTAAAAGAGGCAGCAAAAGCTTCATGCTGCCAGCCGTGGGTTGGAGCGAGCCAGTCTTTGCGGCCCACACAAGGACCCGTTGTTTCTGGAATCAATTGAGGCTAGTATGGGGTCACAATGGAGCCTTTCAGGGAGACAAAGCGCCTCTGGCCCAGCTGAGTGTCCCTGCACACGTGGGCATCTGCCCAGCACATTAAAAATAACGTGATTTGGAAAAACAGATTTAAAGCAATTTTTCCCACTCTGAATGATCCAGGGGTCTTTGTTCTGTCTCTACCATGCCCAGCAATAGTGGCTACTAAAAGCTGGGCACTAGAGGCCGATGCTGTCGCTAGCTGGATGGCAACACACAGGGAGCCGAGCTGTAGGATCTATGCCAGTAGCACATATTCTGGGAGAGACTTGAGGCTTGAGAGAGAGAGAGAGAGAAGCCAAATCCAGCACTGATAGAAGCACTTTTCCTCTTCACTGAATCATCAGGGCCACCCTGTGCAGTTCTATGTTAGCTTTCCATCACTATGACAATCAACCTAACTAACAGA